GGTAAAATATTTTCATTCCAATTCTTTTCTCTTTGGAAAGGTTTAATCTACATTCATATCATTTCCTCCTCATGTAATCGTATGTAAAAGTGTTTCAAATTTAATTATTTATGGCCGGATGAGATCTTTTTCCTCTACTTAGCATGTTAAAACGCAAGTTTTCAAATGTGATTATCTTTTAACTATACGGTAGAATCGGTTCATATTTTGGGAGAGCGTGTAAAAAGTCTAATCTTTTGATAAATTTCAGTTGCAACGTTCAATCTTTTTTATGACTAACTCGTAATGTCTTCCTGCTTACTCATCTTTTCTGTGCGTCTGTTTCAAAAGTTCATTCTTATTTCCTTCAAATTAACTCACAAAATACATTTTGATTGCCACTTTTACATTTTCTTCATTTATTTGTCGTCATAAAATTGTGAAAAAAGATGAAATAAACTTTTTGTTAATTACAGTAACTACAAGCAGACAACGTACTTGAAGTGTTAATTCCTAGTGTTGATTCAAAACATTTGACGTAAGAAAGCTTTTACATTAAATTAATCACTGAAAGCATTTACAGGGTATCATCCTCTTAAGTAATTCATTTTTTCCTTCACAAATAATTTCACAATTAAATTATTTGATTTCTTTAACTTCAACACTTGAAAGAGGAAAACATTAAACAGCAACTACAAATAAATGAGTGGAAAATATCTGCGTTTTTAAATTACTTTTAGCCTCGATATTGTTTAGTGATCATACAATTACTCTGAGAAAGTGTGATAACGCAGACCAAAGTTCTTAAGTCAATGCACGTGTTCTAATTACATGGAAATCACATTACATCAAGATGCTAAGTATGCGAAATTTTGTAGGAATGAATGGCGAATTTGGAGGATTTTGTTTACAACAATATAATTTCAAAACAATTGAAGATAACTTTAATATGCTATAATCCTCACACATTTTTGAGATTTTGTTTTGCTAGATGCAGAAGGAAGTGGGATCCTCGACAGCTTTTTCAAGACAAATCCCTAGCTTGTTAGCTAATATAAATAATTCTATTACATGTATGCGGAAAATATCTCGTTATCAAATGTTGCTAACCACACTCGTTGCTCATTTTTATTCATAATTAAACGATGAAAAATAAAAAAGAGAGATGATAGAAATTAAGCAGCCCAATAAAGTGTTCAAATAGTATTAGACATACTGCAGTGATATTGCTAGTTGCAAACTTTGACTCTGATACAGGTTTAGAGCGAGTAGAATTCACAGTATTTTGGTGCCATCGTAGGGTTACCAAAAATCCTGAATTATCAGGACATGTCCTAGTTTTTTGTTCTGATTTGTTTTCAAAAGTCCTGACTGTCTAATTAGTATCATTGTTTAATTTAATTTCAATATTTTTAAAATATAAAATATTCAAAAATAAATTGGTGTAGAGAAAAATGTGATACTAGGAGTGAAACAGTTTCTAACTACAAGAACAATAAGTATGTCTTAAGCTTATGCAAAATATTGCGGCAGCTATATTTTTTAAATATGTATGTGCACACACTTTTTGAACTTGGTGCTTGGTAACCCTAGGCCATCGTCTTATTACTTCCGTCACATCTTTCACCCTTCATACTTCGTCGCCTTGGCTCTTGGTCCCTTAGACTGGCATTACGGCCACCAGCTGTGACGAGGACTTGGAAGCTTGGCGGAGAGCAAAAGTCATGAAGAATGTTTAGTTGATGGCTTCATTCTACAATTGAGAGATTTTTCTGTAATTTTCATTGCTCAACATTTATCTTAATATTCTGTAAAAAGAACTTGAATTATATAAGGGTTAATATTGCAGTGAATTTAAATATACATTTTAAAACTGAAGAAGTATATATTTAATATTACATTTACTTTATTTTATTCTGTTATTTTATGCAAAAATAAAATTTATCATTACATTTTCATTTTTTCATTGTAATAGAATGTATTTAATAAAGTGTTCCATGTCATTAGACATTGAGTTTTGTCTCTTATATTTTGTTGAGAAATAGATCGGACATTTGTTTTCTTTACTTAAATAACTGATCAGAGTGGTGAATGGTAAAATAAGGAATTAAAGTGTATCACTAATTCAAGTACCAACGTAGTACTTTTATCATAATACAATTAAATAACTACTTTTAAAACAATAGTAGATAGTTAAAGTATTAATATAAAATTTTGGTAAAGAGATAAACCATTATTATTTTTTTGAGGTTAAAGCTCTTTAGATAAGTTGATGTGGATCTAAAAAATGTGACTAAAAACGATCAAACAATTTACATTACGTACATTCGCGAGTGCCTATAACTCCGAAAAATATTTAAAACACTCATGAAATTGAAATACTTGTAAAATAAGTGTGAGGGTCCGGTTCGTGCGGAAAATTGAAATTTGCGATGACAAAAAACACAGCAATACTGAAAATGACTTCAAAAATTACATCTCCGTGATCAAACGTAAAATAAAATTAATTTTAGATTAAAAGAAAAACAAAGAAATAATGGAAGTCATTTACGTCAAAAGTCACGACTTTTGCTTCACATAGAGAGACTGATGATGACGGCAAAGCCGTAGAAAACTGGCTCTCTAAATTAATATATTAAGTTGATGGAGATGACTTTCATTATTTCTACATGTAATTACGTCAACAATACCACATCAGAATTCCCACAATTAAAAGTAAAAATATAATAAGACATTTTTGTAATTAAATCACTTCAAATTTGTTCAAAGAATTGCCACCCCAACCGAGATTCGAACCCGGTTCTCCAGGAGACCCGGGTTTGAACCCCTGGCTGGGTGACAATTCTTTGAACAAATTTAATTATTAAAATACATTTGTTACCCAGTAAGGTCACAACTTGGTATTCTTTACGTCTGCGGGGCGGGACATAGTTCTGAGCATAAACGCGTCCAAAAAGGTGACCGGGTGGTGACAATTATTAAATCACATTGTTCTCTTGTTAATTATATGGAATCGTTTATGTATACATGATAATACTTATAAAGCGTGAAGATTTGACCCTGTAAACTTCACATTAGGGTGGAGTTAGTAGTAAGGAGCTGACATTTTCACTGGACACACACCAACACTGAGTAACATTGGAATAAGCATATTTCAGTTTTTCCATATTCTTTCTTCAACAAAAAGTGACCCAGGCAAACTAGCAATGCGTTTCCATGAACAAGAAATGATTTCACTTTTTTATTTAGTGAATAGCCTCTAGTTAGTGATGAGTAGCTTGCTTAACACAATATAGTAAAATACATTGTGGCAAGTATATATGATTTGTCCTATAAAAAATGATTGAAGCTTAAAAATTAGCCAAAAATATTTGTCTGTATAATTCATATTTGTATATACAATAATTTTACGTTCCCGTTCAATAACTTTAACCGAAAGTATATTTTCAGCCAAGCAATACGTTACAAAACAAATGAACTGAAAATATGCGTTGTGAATCGGAGCAAGCATTTATTTCGCATGGGAGCGGAAAGGTAGAATAAAAAGCTTGTGTCTGTCTTGGTGTGAGAATCGATGCATTTCCACTTCAGCCGCCAGTCAGAGGTGAGATCTGGGGAACTACTGAACGACCGGCGCAGGAAATTACTTGACTTCGTTAGGAAAATCTAATTTTTCTGATGGGAGAGGAGGTCGGGAAATAAGATGAGATAGAGCGCCAACCTGCCAGTTTCGACGGGATTTTGGGGGGGAAGCATCGGAATACAAGTAAATTGGACTAGCGGACTCTTCGATTTTTTACAATTTAATCGAAAACGAAATGAAAAATAAAGAATAAAAGCAAATACAAATAGCTTGAACCAGCCACTCCAGCCTCCATTGAGGAGATCGATTCAGCAGAGCTCCGTCCGAGGCGGGGTGGCTGGAGCGCTGGACCAGAGCCCGGCTCAGGCGCGCTTCCCTTACCTGTTTTGTGTCTCCTCCGGACCGATTTCCTTGATGTCGGTAGCAACGACGGAAAGCTCGTAAACAGAACTGCCGCTCTTAAGGGCAGCCTGCAATGTCTTCTTCACGACCCGACCATGATGTGCGTACAATTATTCATGTCTAACCGAATGTGCACTATACAATAGCACAGTAACATCATTCGATTTTCAAATGTCCAACACTCGTAATAGCAGTGCTGTACGTGCACTGACTGTTCATTTCATATTTACGTATTCTTACGTGCAAGAAGTCGTCACAATCTACATAATAAAACAGCGCTGTTTATCTTATTCCGTGCCGGAATTGTATGTAGCTACCACTGTACCATTCAGCCTCCGCCGCCACTACCACCAGCAAGGGCGTGCCTTGTGTGTTGGGCCTTCGCACCATCTCGCTCTCCCCTCTCACTTCATCTCTCTCTCTCTCTCTCTCTCTCTCTCTCTCACTCTCTCTCTCTCTCTCTCTGCACGGCTTCAATCCGCGCCCGCGCACTAACTTACCTCATTGATTTTCAGGTTGGGTCGCACACAAGCTTTTAGGGGAGTATCAGTGCTTTTCTGAGCGACCATCTGTAGAACAGCATATGAATTAAATAATTTAATATTATTGTTAAAATATGTAATGGGTAAAAAAATATTAATCGTAATAATTTTTCCGCAAAATAGTCTTAGTAGCGTTTTAAAGTACACAACATTTAACTGATATAATTAACATATTCATATTAAAATAAATAACTATCAATGCAAAAAGGTCAAACTGTTTGATGCAAAATAATTATTAGTTAGAGCGCATCCATTTAATTATGGCTAACATTACCTAAATGAAGAAATAACTAAAAATGTTATTGATTCTTTATCATTTATTTAAATATTTTATTCTCAGAACAATACTTTTGATAACAATAATTATTTTGTAGAGAATCTAAAGTGTCTTGCACACCAAGAAACAGATCTCTAAAATAATGAAAGTTTGTCAACACTATATTGTTTTAATTGCCAAAATTTTTATTTGAAGCATATTGATTTTGTAAATAATAATGTCACGAGACCGTAACATTAGTTAGCGACTTAAAGGGAACAATGGATTATACGGTAATTGTTGCGCTTGTAATTTGAATTTAGCGCCCTTTCCAAACTTCCTCTGGATGAAATTCCAGATTTTAAGTAGAATCACATTTCGTTGAATTATATTTCTCGAATTTACTTCGAGTCAAGTTGTAATGTTTTCGTTGTAATGCTTATAGACACCAACACTAGTCATATTTTAACTTGTTCGACGTTTGATACCTTTGAAGTATCACCACATTCAGCGCTATCTTCAGTTGTATGATGTTCTAGAAATTTCACGAGTGATTACTACGTATGGATGGGATTTCAAAAGACGAAAGGAAGTAGTGGTATAATACTTAGTAATACACTAGTCCGCACAAAAAATTGTTGGATCGAAAGTGATTTCGAGCTGTGCGAGTATAAAAGTTTGTAAGTGTATTATCAAACAACTATTTGTTTGTACTGTAAGTGTGGATGTTCTTGTCCATGCTCACGAGATATATGTACTTACGTGCATTCAGGGGGTGTTACTTTTGTTGTAGTTTTATTGGCATTGTATGTGGAGCAGCACACGGTACGACGAGGAACTTTTAATTCCGAAGTTAATGTTAAATGAGGAATAGTTGGCTTTCGAGGTTTGACTAATTCAGTTTGTATGTATGGCTTGCAAGTGTACTTTAGTTATTATTGATATAATTGTTTGTTGTAACTAAGATGTTTTATTTTCATTTTGTATATTTCAGCTGGATTATCCGAATTAGTAATCGGTAATTAACGATTTGTATTACAAAAAATGGCCAAATGGGGAGAAGGTGACCCTCGTTGGATTGTAGAAGAGCGTCCGGATGCTACAAATGTCAACAATTGGCATTGGTTAGTTTCTTCTCTCCCTTCTCTATTGTGTTTATTCCATTATTAGTATTTGCTTTAGTAATATCCTGTTTTATTTCTGATACCTAACAGTGCACATTGGGAAGCTAAACAATTATTTTGAATTTCAGGACAGAAAAGAATGCATGTAACTGGTCAGTGGACAAACTGAAGGAACTTCTAACAAATTTTAGAATAGAGTCTGAAAAAGGTAATAATTATTTCTGAAGTAATTTGAAGTACTAATAGTAATGAGATGTAATAATGTTTATTCCTTCTACAGTGGCAGATTGTTTAAAATGAAGAAAAATGTATTTTGAGCAAGAGCACTATTAATTGCACTTTGTTTTCTTGCATGTTAAAAACAGAACTAAGTGATATTTTTTATTAAGTATGGCTATTATAAATATTCTATTTGTGTTATTTCTAAAATGGAACTTATTTCAGCTAAATGTAAAATAACTGAAGTGGAAAAATGTGAAGGAGAAGCTGTGGCTAATAATAGAAAAGGAAAATTAATATTTTTCTATGAGTGGGATCTCACACTGAAATGGAAAGGAACTTTAAAAGGCAGTGAGAGTTCAGTTGAGGGAACAATCAACATACCTAATCTTAGTGAAGAAAATGATGTGTCTGAAGTAGATGTGAGTATCTGATGTTCATTTATTTTTGTGATGAAATATTTGTGATCCACTGATTTACTTTTTCTTATGTTTTCAGGTAAATGTAAGTGTAAAAAATTCTGATCCTGAAGCAGATAAACTTAAAGAATTTATGTACAGAGAAGGATCAAACTACATTAGGAAACAACTGGGAAAATATGTAAATGCATTAAAAGAAGGTGATTTCTTAAAATTTTTTAAATTTTGATTATTCACCAATCACATGTATCGCTTCAAATTTTATGTCATAAAGTTTTGAGAAGTTGAGTAACAGAGTTGTTTTGAGATTGTTGTACAATGTGACAAAATTCTGTTGTGTAGTTCTTGTTTGTATGATAAAATAATCTTACATTAATTTACGATTTCAGAATTTTCCAAGGGTATGATATTGCCTCGCAAGGAGGAAGTTAAAAAACAATCAGTTAATCAAGATGGGGTTGCTAGTTTGTCGGCAGGTTTTACGAAGCAGGTAAGTTAATGCACTTCGTTTTTCTAATTTTTCAAGATAATAGGAAGTGGTATCGATGTATGTTTCTTACTTGGTTGAAAAGGTTTTTTGGGGGGTGGGGGGAGAATAATCAAAGCTGTGTTGGTGAATTTTCATTTTCATCGTTGTTTTGACGAACATTTTTATAAATCTGAACATTACACAGTTAAAGGGGAGGTAGTTGTACTTCTGATAATATATTATTTTCTATATTGAGAAGGACCACGGCATCATATCAAAAGTAAGACAAATCCGGAGTTAAGGGTGGCACCGGTTCCTTTAGTTCACTGATTCTATTCAGTTTTCTATTTCTTGTGATTCACAAGAAGACTTTTGTTGGCACTTCACGGCGCTCTGGCAGCAACTGCGCAGTTTGAATTGTGGAGGCTTTCTTGAAAAGTGCTTTTTCATAAAAGTGAATTGGTAATTATGCGTTGGATAGACTTAAGGATATTTTATGGGGAATGCAAGGGCCGAAGGCCCAAGCCTAGCTGTGATTTGGATCTGGGCGAGCGAAGTGAGAAAACTTGCCTTTGAAAGTAAATTGGCATTACAAAGGCGTTAAAAGGTTACAAAAAAATAGAAAACCATTGTGTAAATATGTGTTATTTCAGATGACAAGTTTTGGAACACTCAGGTAAATATGCTGATTGCAATGTTACACAAAAGCATGGTTTGATAAAAGTAGGGTTCACGGTACATCCTTAAAGAAGCGGGACAGAGGGAGAGGAGAAAGGTGAGGTAGCACGGGAGGGGGCCACGGATGTGGGGTCTCCTAAAGCCTTCCCTGAAATTACCACTCGCATTCATTATAAACATCATTGAGTCTATCCACCACATAATTACCAATTCACTGTTATAAGCAAGCCTCCAGAATTCAGAATGTGCAGTGCAAACTTTGTTGTGAAGAAAGAACACCACAAGCTTTATCACACCATGGCCACCATGATCACAGCACTATTTTGTAATGGAACTCCGACAAGATACTAGGGTGAAATTGCCTCCCCTAACTTATGACATCATGTTCGTGACCAATTACAAACTCCTCGTCCTTTCTACCATGCATTTCTCCCTCAACGGGAGGTGCAAAGTGCCCGTATAATCCTCTTCCTTAACTCACCGGGTACGACGGCCTAGCTGGGACGTTAAATACCCTGGGGACCCTTTCGTGACCTCATTTCCAATTGCACATTTTGACAATTTATTTCTGACTGGAACTTAGAAATCCTTTTAGTTGACATCTCTTGATCGATAGGAAAAAGATTAAATGCTGTTTACACTTGTTAGAAGCGCTATATTTTCAAACAAAACCAATCATTATATTTTGAAAAAGTTACAGACAATATCATGGTGATGTCGCAAGCACCCCAAACACATTTTTTAGAAATCATTACATAATGTAAGGCATGTATAAATGTTTTCAATGAAATAAGATAAAGAACTCATTGAGCTATAATTAAATCTGTTGACCTATTAATGAATTTCCTTAAAATTTCCAAGAGACTGGGAAAATGACTCTAGCCCAAGGTTTGGTTTTGACACTTTTTCTTAGAATTTTCAATTTCCGCCTAAAACCCCTTTATGTGCTATTTCATCCACTTTTGCTGGAATAACAGCAATGTGATCTCTGGTTGCATCAAGTGATTTTATTCTATGTCTATTTTGGATGTAGCCAAGTCACAAAATCTAAACGTTTCAAGAAAAAAACATCACTAGAATTCGTGTACAAATAAGACATCTTGTTAGGTGATAAGATCAGAAATGTCACAATGTCGTTAAAAGGCTTCTCTTTCTGAGGACAGTGTCATCTTCATATATTCTAACCTCCTTGCTTGCGTATTACCACAGTCTTGCACTACTTCACACGTACTCAGAGATTCAACTAGGGGGTCAACCGGGAACAACGGTTGCCATCGTAAAAGCGCCTCCCTTAGTCCCAGCTTACGCTACACTTCCGTTACTCCACGTTTACTAGTTAAGATTTTGCCTACTTGTGACTCAATCCAGAAGTAATTTTTACTCTGTGTTTATTAAAGGCAATATGTAACTAGTGTGCATGCCAGCTGGCTGGTCCACCACAGTTGTGTAGAATGTTGATAAGCAGGGTCCATGCTACTGCGATACTATTTGCAATGAGTTCAAGCCTTGCTTTGTGCAGTGGCATCCCAAGAAGTTTTCTGGATTTTGGCAGTTAACTAACTAGTGAAAGGGAAATGTTTTTGTGGAAGGTATTCCACACGTAACATAATATTCTTTGGGCTTTTGAAATAGCTTGGTATATTTACAAATTTCATCCTTGAAGTACACTCCTATTAGATTTGTGGTGCAGAAAGGTAATTTTTGGCATCCAAAACTTCAATTATGTGTATTAAAAACTATTAAATATATTAAATGTGCAATGGCTTTAAATTAACCAATTTATAAAAGCACAATATTTGTTAGAAAAGCAAACATGAAATTCTTCACATTGGTGGGGGACAAAATGAAACTTTGAATAACAATGGCTTAAAATATTAATACAATAATTTCATGATGATCTACACTAATATGTAACAATATATAATATGTAGACAGAAGTGCGTGAACTTACAGTGCGATAATCTGTGAATCTACTGAACCAATGCCGATGAAACTTTTGTGCTAGCTTCCTTTAAAGGCCTGAAGTACTATAGGCTATGATTTATAACCATAAACCTTAATATGTTTACACAATAATTACTTTTTCAGACATTTTTCGCCTAGCTTTACACACACACTCAAGAGTGCATCTAATTTCAACAATTTAGCTCATGCCACTAGAAGATAACGTCTGTGATCTACTGATTTCATCAACGCACAGAATTGCATATTTGGGAGCATGTTTGTTAATTTCCACTGCCAATTGTTCAATCTGGGATAATTCTGAGCTTTTCTCTTCTTTATTTATAAAAATAACTTGGATATTAATTGCGTGTGGGTGTAAGTACATTAAGTGTACAGGAGACAATATGTTTTTAAAGAATTTTCTGATGGATGTGGATATTGTCGTAAATGGGTATGAATGCACATTGTGCATAGTTAGTGAATTAAGCATAATTATTATGTATTTTCAAGTTGGCTGAGCGACAGTGAGAGCCAAACATATTATGAATGATTTAAATGTTATGCTGAAACTGACAGATGAATGCATTTTTGTACAGAAATGTTTTAAAATAATGGAGAGTGAAAGCATACATTTGGGTGTTGAAGGAATTATTAAATTGGTGAATGTTGAGTAAGAATATAATTTAAAGTAAAACAGCAGTAAAGTATATGCATTTTATTTTTTAGTTCACATTTGTTTATCGTTTTAAGTAATAAAGTGAAAGAAGTTTGGGAGCGACAATCCCAGTTGGTATCAATGTTTCATATCAACATTTAATATTAACGTGTTTTTTTTCTTCTCCAAAAACCCAGAATAATCAAAATTGGAACTTGTTTCTCAAATATGAAATTTGTTGAATGCATTTGCATCTTTATGTGAAGGCCCTAATTTAGAATAAATCCGATTCTCTTCTAGCCAATGGGAGCGTCCAATACCCATAATATAATGAAATGGCGATATTGTCATCAAGTTCTTAGTGTCATATTTATTCATAATTAGCATACTACATTTGACTGTATTCATCTCTTGCAGTGGTGTTCTAAGAATTTTGTAGCGTATACATGAGTTGTTATCTTAGTGGCAGCGGGTGATTTAGTATTAAGCTAAATAAGCTACAGCTTGGGACCTTAGAGCCCAATAGGCCTAAAAAGATATTAAATAAAATTTCAAATTTGTTTAAAAAATTATGAAAATATACAATTTATAATTAGTTTGCAGTACATAAATAAATTTAATAAATATGCTATTGGTGTTGAAAACAGATTTATTCAGATACTGCCATGTTCATTCTCATGTATTTCAGTTTGAACTTGTCAAATGGATGACAAAATCCATCATGCCAAAAACACAGCAGCTGACACACAGTCACAGCAGCTGACTCAAAGAATATCTTTTCATGTACCCAATGTTTGGCTTAGTGCAAACATTTGAAAATAATACCCACATAAGTGTGTCCTTTATTTAGTAAATTCAAGTAGAAACAAGTGTTGAGCTACTATGAGACGAGACAAATTCACTAAGAATAATGTGCAGTGAAAATTATAAGCTCTGAGATTTCTTTCAAGAATATCAAGTCTGATTTTATGAACAAAATGTTATGTAAACAGCATTTTTAGTAAGCTTTTGTCAGTTATAGTGTTGATATTGCAGCTATATTGGCATACAGATATTACATTATAGACAGTTGTTTTCAATTTGTAAAGTAAATATATGAAAAAAATTATTATTTCAAGCAAGTTTTATTTGTTAAATAAATGTTCCATAAAAGAGAAAAATGTCCAATTTCAAAAATGTGATTGCCAACTGTAAAAAAGGGGTGTCAAAGATATTTTAGCTTGGAACCTCAATAATAGTAAATGTGCTGCTGCATAAAGCGATAACAAAAGTAACATTTTCATGAATTGATTTTGCATTTTAGGTACCTAACAGTAAAGTCTAAAGTTAAAAAACTGAAATAAAAGGGGCTAATTCATTCAGAAAAACATTTTGTATTATTTGTTACCAAATAGAAAAAATTTCAACATTTAACGAATTGCATGTTCCTGACACCTGTAAGAAATGTTTTAATTAATTATGTCGTAATTGTTTAAAAAAAAAAAAATATTGAAAGGGAGTAAAAATCAGAAAAGAAAAAAAATTTAAAAAAAGAATGTAGATTGCTATGGCATTAGATGGATGTTACATTTGAACAGGTTTTTTCTTTAATTCTATATGGCAAGTTAGTGTAACAATTTTACAATAATGTTCCAAAAATAGGAATGAGTTTTCTAATTTAATAATTTGATGTGAAAAACAATTTTTAGATAGATTTTAAAGTATATTTTGTTCCCAGTCACATTGAAAAGTAAGCTGAATCAGCTTGCACTTTCTCTTATTTTTCCCACCTAATTGTGTCTTCAGTCAGCATCGATCCTGCATGAAACTCGAATTTTATGAAGCTTCTCTTGGGGGCATGTCTTTAACAGAATTTTTTACAATTATTAATGTGGTAGGGGAGCTCATTTTGAAGTCATATATTGCTTGAATGCTACTTTTGAAAGATTTTTATCGACTATTTCCTTTAAGCATATTTCCTAAATAACACTGCAATGATTAATTTGCACTAAAGTTTTAGGCCTCACTTTTGTTTTTAATTTGTTGGTGACTGAACCACTGCAGCCATAGACAGGACAGTTTTCATTTTATTGTCTGAGAATTTCTTCTCAGATCCTTAAAAAAAATCATTAATACTTCAGTTCAAAAAATTGGAAATAAATATTGTGATTAGATTCACTCAAGCATTTCATTTCCATTTCTTTATAGAATTTTTCAAAAGACAAGAAACTGTTTCCAAAATTATTATTCTTTTCAAATGTGGAACACAAACAGTAAATCCTTTCTTGATATCTGTTTTATTTCACTTTTGCCTTTCGCCTGCTTCTTGCATGTCAAATTATTGAGAATATGTTGTCAAATGTCAGTTTAGTCGTAATTTCCCTTTATTCCATTAGAGTCATTGAAAATATTTTTTTAATTTTTTCTCCTTTTATTCAAGCTATTGTAATTTCTCAATGACATTAAATTAAAGGTAGGTACAATTCTATTTTAATGATACTTGGCTTCAAGCTAGTGAGGAAAATTCAGTTCACCTTCGAACAACAAAAAATGCAAATTTTTTTATTTGCCCTGCTATTTAATGAATTCGTGAGAGACCTAATATTCTTTGCAGATTTGTTTTACTTTATTGCATTCACATTTCTGTCTATTTAAACTAAATACATTTTCAACATGTTCCAGCAAAATATCAATACGTGAATAAATATCAAATATGATTGGAAAGATAGATTTCAGACATTTGGTCTAATTGTCCGAACTCATAACATAAACAGGAAGGTGCTGGCTTTTCTCGGCAATGAAGAATGTCTTCTCCACATATATTTAACCTCCTTGTTTACACCAAAGGACAGATGTTGGATGCTGAAATCTGATGAAAAGAAATGTCTTTGCAATAATTTATTAATAATTAAATTTATTAATAGGCAATAATGTTACCCAGTACAATCTATTCATAAACGTAACTATCGATTGATAATACAATTTGAGAAGTTGACACAGGGTTTTTATAGTTTTTTATTGTCAAACAATGATTGCAGAGCGTAGCCCACATAGTTACTCTTCTGTTACTTTGCGGTTATTAGTAAAAGATTGTTTTGTTTACTCTGGTCTGTCTCTTAAAATTTTCTTCTGGAGTAACCGTGTTACTCCAGTTAGGAAATAATTAAATAAAAATTTGTATATATATTTCCCTTCTCAATAGCTCAGAGTCCATAGTTGTTTTTTTCAAACTTCAGAGAATTTTAAAAGTAGTAGTGTAGAACAAAAAGAAGCAGCAATGCAATGATCATTTGTGATTCAATAATAGTTTAAAACTATTGTTTTTGTAGTGTAAACTGAGGAGTTTCTTAATAAAAACACTGCTTTTTTCTTTTTTTTTCCCCCCAAGCTTTATCTGCTCTTTAAAGCTAAAAACATCAAAACTTTTTTTCTTTTAAGTTTTAAAACTGTGACTGAGAAATACATTGTAGTATAAGAGTGATGTAATCTTGAATTGCGGTTTTGCTGAAAATTTTTGTTTTACGTAATGTTTTTACATCAGGTATTTTACACATCTACAAGTTGGAGTTGCATCATGTTTTCTGAAATAAGAGTTTTTTCATTATTGCAAATGAGATCGCTTTTGAAAATTATTTTGCTAAATGTAAAGCTGTAAGGTTACTGTAAGGTCATTTAAAAAAAATTAATATCCAAGTACAATTGTAAAAGGTTATCTAATAATAATAAAACACTATTCATATCTACTCAATGCTTTGTTTAAAGAACACTTTCTTTTGGAAAAACATTTTAAATCTTGAACCTTGTTTTAATCCAAAAATATGTATATTAGCTGAAGTAGTGTTTGTTACATGGGTATTTATTTATCAATATCATCTTTTAGACAGAAAAAGGAATTCATTTTTTTCTTCTGTTTTTCCACTTTACCCTTCGTTGCCTAACCCAAATACCTAGGTCCAACCCCTCCTCACTCTGCCCTGCAGAGCCATGCCCAGCCCAGCATGTCACAACGTGAGATTTTGTAACACTTAACTCCATTCTCCTTTTCCTACCTTTTAAAGCTCTCTATTTTTCACAGAAGTCCCAAGAACAGTAAAGATATTCATTTAAGAGTGTTAACATTTTTTGAAAGTACATGCAACTGTTTATTAAATTTTGATTCATTTTGATAGTGCAATTAAGCTTTTAGTAGGTGAAGGTCAACATTAGTAATACAAGTTTGCTGGAACAATGCCCAGCCCGGGCTGAAGTTGATGTTTATGACATCTCATTTAGTGCCAGGCCTGGCCCCCCTTGCTTTGCCTGGTCCAATCATGTTTCTTGTAATTATCATTACTACCAAATAGTTGTTCACCAGGCAGCTAGAAATAGATGCACTGCTGCATGCTAACAATAAACTTCTAGTAATAATATTGACCTTCACTCAATAAAAGCCGTTCTCGTATAATTTTAATATTTTAAAAGAATAAGATATATTAAATTGTGTATGTAAAGTAATTGCTTATGCCCAATTCAAATTGAATGAATATAACAAGAATCCTAAAGATATAAAATTTGGTAAATGAAGTCTGCAAAATTAGCTTTTGTTTTAGAATTACCTTATTATTTGTTAAGGATTATGCATATAAAATAACGATATAGCGCATAGACTCCTGTGATTGGGGAATAAATTCGGAATGAAAATAAATTATTTTGGTATCCCACTCCCAGCTTTCAAGGCCAAAATCTAACTGAACAATAATATATGAATGGCTACTACCTTTCCTTAATTATTTTACCGTGAAAATAGTGTTGTTCTTGTTTTTGTGTCAAGTATTATGTAATGGCTTTCTTATTCTTGTGACTTACTGTCTTATTTTATTAGTTTTATTTTTTATTTGTGTCTTGTATTTTTACTGTTAACAAATTGTGACATTCTCATTTTTATACTTCAGTATTATGTAATGATTTCTTATTATGTCTTTTTGGTATTCTGTATTTAATAGTTCAGAATTTTTTCTTTCAATACATTCTTAAATTTTACTTCATTAATTTTTTTCTAGGTACATGTAAATTATATAGAGAAGGAGAAGTGTGGTTTGAAGATAGATACTAGTACGGTGAAGACAAGTCATAAATTTCAATGTAAAGGAGATGAATTCTATAATGTAATGACTACAGTAGAGGTAATTTTATTATTTAGAGGAGTTTTATTTATCCACACTTAATATTATTCTAAAATTTGTAAGGATTTTGAGCTTACAAGATAATTCATTCTTACTTGGCACTTACATTAATTCAGAGTCAAAAGCTATTAAAAGAGAAACCATTAACATGCTTATTCCTTGATATTGAAATGTATTTAAAAGCTCCTTAATACTAAGAAAGAGCTCCTTAATACTTTAGAAACTCATTCAGATAATAAGCTAAGTACATTTCAGAATTAAAGAATAGATGTTCCGAGACTATTTAGATTATTATTCTCTTGTAATTAAATTTGTTCAAAGAATTGGTTGCCCTGACCGGGACTCAAACCCGGGCCTTCTGGTTAACACCCAGCTGCTCTAACCACTAAACTACCGAGACAACCAATCTTTTGAACGGTTTTTCACGAGTGCGATTATTGCTTCTTGTGAGGAGGGACAATTTCCTTTGCCATTTTCAATGACCTTATTGATTTCAATGCAAGGGTGATACATTCAATGCAGCTGATATTGTGTTATATTGCTCTTTCTGCTTTTTAGCTGTTGCAAGCATTCACTCGAGGTGCAGTTAAAGCTGAAATCAAAAAAGGTGGAAAATTTGAATTATTTGGAGGAAATATTCATGGAGAATTTGTAGAACTTGTAAGTATTTTCATTGTGTGTGTGTGTGTGTGGGTGTGTGTGT